TCGTGTAACTTTGTTTTTGTTGTTTCGTGCAAGTTGCAACAGTTCCGTTCCCTGCCTTTACGATTAATTAACTGTGACGTTTTAAACCGCGGTTAACAGCGGAATCCAGTAATTGCTGCATCCCTTCCCTTGGACTTAAGGAAATTGTGCTGGATATTTTTTTCTTCAAAAGAAATTCTGACATTTTATAGTTCAGATAGGTGAAATGAAAACCACCAATTCATTAACAATCTAAATAATCAAAACAGAGAGATGTGGGTTTTCTGTCACGTTCTAAAAGTTTATGTTGAAAATCACAAAACATTAAAATACTTCTGAAACCTCCACCCCGTAAAGCCAGCTCCTGCTTAAGGCTGGATTCATACGTTGCTGTGATTAGCTGCAGGGTTGTGAGGCAGTGTGTTTATTTGTGCTTTAGAAGTTAGCCGCTCTTAAACAATTAGAAAATAATTTTTTTTCCCCCTCTGATTCACCAGCTTTCTCTACCGGCGCCCTCTCCTCATTAACTCTCTAGGTCACTCTGCCACCACACACACACTCTCTTCTCTCTCTAAAACAAATGAACACATACCAAAGGAAGATCTTGGTATCACTATTTTTCCATCCAGACCCAGTCATCAAAGATGGGTACACCTAATAAATCAAGGACTCAACTGGGAGAGAATCAAGAGTTTGGTCCATGAGCTTCGTCTGGATAGCTCCCTGTTTCAGTGATATTTCAGGCCACCTGATTTGGTCTGAATGGCGCTGACACAAGTCGACTTTATGGAGTAACAATTACACACAGGATCATGGACCCCTAAAAACATTTCATAGCTCATAGCAGTGCAGTGCCTATGTTCAGGATTACCATGCAACAAAGAGAAACTTGAAGAAATGGCCGATTTCAGTGGTTCTTTCTTCATTCTGGGAAATGTAATGATGGGAATTTTCCTCTAATGCCACTAAAGCAGTGCACCTTTCAGATGCACAATCATTAAAAAAAAAGCAAAGAGGAGCATGAATGCCAAGGCACACGAGTGGCATGTCTGCAGCTCCAGCATCTTGAGCCACCCATAGTATGAACCAAGCCTCATGCTGCACGAGCCACTCTTAGGCAAATCTCCTCACCACAATGTGATCAAAATTTACACTGGCGCAGAGAACCAGAAACCACCTAATTAAGGAGGCTAATTAAAAGAGTGCCTGGGGCGTTGTGACGTGATGAGCAGAAAACAGGAAACAAGAGGAGAGAATTGGAGCCCCTCTCCAATATGTACTCCGCCAGGGACGTCAAGGGTTCTCCAAACATCACTGGCCAAGTCTGGAAGGGATGAGGGCCATTAAGCAAAGACTATGTAAAAAGGGCCTACCTGGCTGCTTTCCTCTCAGGGAGGTCAGTGGCAGTCTTGTGTGGATGAATTGACAAGCCTGATGCTACTTAATGTGTCAATTGTCTGAAGCCACTCTGCTTAAGTGTCTCCTTCAACGGCAGTGGAGCGAAAAGACTTATTTTCACAGCGGCTGGGGTCTGCCACAGAGAAAAGGCAAATGTCTTCACTTAATGGACAAAAGCATGTAAATTATATAGAACTTGAGAAGGGAAACACACAGCTGATGGGCACACACACGGGTCTGCCTACTCCGCAAAGACGACAAGTGCAGAAATGTGATGTGAAGGATGGTCCTCCCGGGTTGCCAATTGCGGAAGCGTAATCCATTTAAGCAGCAATCGAAAGCCAGCCTGAAAGTTCTGAGTAACTTTTCGGTTCTACATGTCTGCTTTAATCCCATTCCCTCTATGAGCCAGTCTCCTGTAGCACTAGCAAACTGAAGTTATAATGAGAGAGCACACAGATATTTGCGAAATCAATAACTTCCCATGTATTCTCCATTAAAACTCCACCTTCTCTCACATCCTGTATTGAAACAGGCCAAGAACTGCGGAGTCCAACAGGCGAACCACATTTCCTTGCTGGATCAATAGCAAGGTCAAACCAGACTCATTCCCAAACCGCTGCTGTTGTTCTCTTGGAGCGTTCTCCAAACGGCTTGCTCAACTATAAAAGCAGACCGGCTAGATCGCCTTGCCACTCTGCATTCACCGCGCTGGCACCCACTGAACTGTACCGCCTGACTTGAAAAGTGGTCTATCGCCACTGTGTCTGCCCCATTCTCAATCTCCCATTTCCTTCTTGGGCAAGTAGTAGATGAAAAGGAGAGAGAGAGAGAGAAAGGAAGTCGCCACCATGGACAAAGAAGAGACAGAACAACCGAGCAAAACCAAGAAAGGAGCGCGGCAACGAAAAAACACGAGAGAGAAAGAGCAGGGAAGCAGGCCGAGGCCTCGGCGAGACAAAGAGAGTGAGCAGAGGACCTGCGCTCGAGGATGAGAAACAGAGCCTGTGAGCACGAGACAGGGGAAGAGAAGGAGAGTCCAGTTAATTTCAGCATCCTCATCCATGGCAGTGATGAATGATCTGGGTGGAATAGGAGCAGCTCTGGCTGCCTGTGAGCAGCA